CGGCTTTTTTTTTTTTTTTTTTTTTCTGAAATTATAATATGTAATAATTATTTGTAATATTTTATTAAATACAAATCGTAACTTCAAATATACTGGAATATAGTTTTTAAGATTTGAGTAATTTGAGTATAATGCAAATTAAAATAAAATAATCGAATATTTTCAAAATAAATATATTAAAAAATAATTAATACTAAATTATAATTATATAACCATTATTTACAATTTCTAATATAAAAAAATATATTAAATTATTAAAATAAAAAAAGTTGTTTTGACCCCGACGTGATTTGAACACGCAACCTTCTGATCTGGAGTCAGACGCGCTACCGTTGCGCCACGGAGTCCTGTGATGATGTGTATTTCTAGTACAATGATACATGTAGTGGTGCATTTAAAACAGAAAATTATGATATAATACGAGATAACAATTTTAGTAGAATAATATAGAATTCAAACTTAAAATCTCTTACATACCTCATTTGTAAATAAAACGCACGCTAATACACCCAGCGACCACCAATCAACCTCCTGGCCGTAATATTCCTTCTTTAAGATTTCAGGAGCTGAAAAATTATGAAATTATATTCATATTAATGTGACTGAGCGATAAAAAATTCCATTTTACATCGCATATCAATATCATCAATAATTTTTATTATTTTACACGAACTGCATATAACAATGTGCAATTACAATTATATTATTTCTATTACAATATTTTCTTACCCATATATTGGGGTGTTCCACAAAACGTATTCGTTCGTTCCATTCGTTGCAACCATTTAGCCAAACCAAAATCAATAATCACAGCATGACCATCTTCGTCAAGTAAAACATTTGTTGCTTTCAGATCTCTGTGTACTATACCAGCATTGTGTAGAAAATCTATATCAAAGATGTTTTTATATAAAGATACAGATTTTCCTTGTAAAATGGATGTCATGTTATAAGGAAGTATTAAAACTATTTTTACCTATAGCTAAGGCAATTTCAGCTACATATATCCTAACTACTTTTTCAGGCAAACAGCCATATTCATCGACTAGTGAGAATAATTCTCCTCCAGAGACATAATTCATCACTGCAACATTATTTACATTTGTAAGCCAATTTAAAAATTATATTATAAAAATTTAAATGTCTAACAATAGAAACATACATATATACAATGTTTTCCTGCCTTGCCATCTGTGGACAGAATTCACTATAAAAGGATGATGTCCAACCATTCTCAGTATTGCTGCCTAAACATGAAATGTCAAATTTCTTATGTATTTCTTAAACAGATTGATATATTTATTAATCAATATTGTTTCAAACAAATACTTCTTCTTTAGCTTGTTGGACAGAATTTTCTGCCACAATCATGGCTTTGCTAATGACTTTCAGTGCAAAGACTTGACTAGTTTCTTGTTTTTGCACTCTGTAAACTTTTCCATAAGCACCCTTAGCTATTACATCTAAGAAGGAATATCCCATCTTTAGAGGATACTCCTTAACTGGAAATTCAGGCAGAAACATCAATTGGAAGCGTGGAACTGGCCATACTGTTTTGGAAGATCCATGAATATCCTGAACAGTGCCTTTGGTCCAACTAAAACAAATATAAACTTAGTTCTTCTACACCTATTATTTAGAATATGCCTACTGTTAAAAATCAATTATTATATGTCAAATTGTCTCACCTTCGATTAGAAGCACGGGACCATGATCTTCTTTCCTCATTAGAAGCCTGCGCTGCTGTGTTGACACAGCTTCCACCAAGTAAATCACTGAGGCTATACTGTAAATTAATAATATCACTTTTAATATATAAAATGTTTAATTATAACGCGTTATGGAAATGAAAAAAATAGCAGACGACATTTAAGGGAACATAAATATTTCATTGCAGGTTAGGATATACATTCCAACAACACCCACCTGACTATCATACTTGTGGTGATTATGATAGTTGTTTCTCTTAGCGTTGGAGTTGCCCATCCAAGTGACGGTGCCTCGATCGATCGGCGGGAAATTTATCTCAGAAGACGGACGAGCGATAATTCAAAAGCAGCGCTTCTCTGTACGTCATTCTGCCGCCGAGTTATTTCGAATAAAATTATCAGGCGTGTCTCCAGTTCATTTGCACATATTTATTATTCACCATCGAATATGTAAAACACGCTCGGCGCGGGGCATACGTTTGTGCTCGGATCGGCGCGGGACGTACGTTTGTGCTTGGATCGGAGCAGGCCGGAATGCACAATTACAATTATGAGCAAAATTATCAATAATTAGAAGAAACCAAGCTACACAACGTTTAGATTTGTCACATGCAATGGCGTGACACGCGCGGCGCAAATTAACGCTAACAAACTGAAAGATTCTTTAGAAAATCGCTAAAAATCGCGCAAGATTCTATCTGCGATAATACGAGGAGCGCGACAATACAAACATGCGCAGTGCGGAAAACGCAGCGGAGTCGGCGAATCACATGAAGACAGACGCGGAACGCTTTCAAATATCTTACGCGACATATCTGTAATCTGATCACAACATGCGCGTTTCGCAAAAACGAGACGTGCATCACATGCAATTTGAATTAACGCGCATGTTAAAATTCAAATGTCTATCCTTGCGTAGGTGAGGAAGCTCGTCTTTTTCGATGAATTCTCATCCATCGCGTGAAAGCGCGAAACACCATGAATCGCAGACCTGCGCAGTGAATGGCGAGAACGTGCAAAGTCGCTCTTGGATCTGTCATCTGCTTTTTACAAAAAATATTGCAAGACTTATCGAGACAAAATGACGCTATTATCTTACTATTTACAAATAAAAACGAACGCTGAAAGAAAGAAATTGGCAACTTTAGTGATGACTACAGCCATTTCAGTGGAGGTGCGAACTTTTTGGCGCGCTTTCTTGTCGGCAGCAAAGCGTACCGACATTACCGACTCGCGGCAAGAGTTTTCGCTAGGACAAGATTTATCACGCGCGCAATTCGTGACGCCGTGGTATTAGCGCGCTCATGATCGTCCGTCCACGTGACATTAGCCGCTGCGCCGACTGTGCGTGCTGCGTGCTAGTTGCCAGACTGACCGAGCGCGATTGATCTCGTGGTATCAAAAAATCGTGGGTACCCAGGAAACGATTTTGTATGCCGTCCGTGTTCGCGACCCGTACACGAGGCACTTGCATGTCAGCTCGCGTCGACGTCGACCGCGCGATCTAACTATGATCAAATTATTCTCGTTGAAACAAGCGAAAAAAGATGGCGAGTCACCCAAGGCTGGCACCCAGAAGAAGGCATCCGCGGCACAGCTGAGGATCACAAAAGGTGATAACCCGCGCGCGCGTGACACGCCACCCTGTCCGCTGTTCAGCTTTGTCTCACCTGATGCTCCTCTTTCAGACATAAACGAGCTCAATCTCCCAAAAACATGCGGCACAGAATTCCCGGATCCTGATGATTTGCTAAGTTTTAAATTAATCATCTGTCCAGATGAAGTGAGTAAACGCTCGCCTAAATTTTTTTTTATAATCCTGCTCGAACAGCTCAATGCTACTCATACTGTCCTATCGAAAATCTAGATGATTTTTGGTGTCGAGTCAATAAACAGTCCCTGTCAACACTAACAGCATACAAAATCGTTTCGTATACTTGGATGATTCGAAGGTTTATTAATTTTAGGGATTTTACAAAGGCGGTAGATTTGTATTTAGTTTCAAAGTCGGACCCAATTATCCACATGAACCACCTAAGGTGAAATGCGAGACTCAAGTTTATCATCCTAACATCGATTTGGATGGTAATGTGTGCCTCAATATTTTGAGAGAGGACTGGAAGCCTGTACTCACGATCAATTCCATTGTCTATGGTCTCCAGTATCTCTTTCTAGTACGTGCAATATACTTTTTGAATATTATTATTTATACCTTATAACTTATAGCTTATAAATGAAAAATATATCACTGTTATTTGTATAGCAGAAGAAATTCTAAGATCTATATAAATGTATTATAAAATACATATATATATATATATAATTTAATATATATTATTTTATTTTTAACTATTTACTTTTAACATATATATTTAACATATATATTTTTAACATGTATATTTATTTATTTCTAATCTCTAATTTTTGTAATTATCTGTGTTGAAATATATGTTTTGATAGGAACCAAATCCTGAGGATCCGTTAAATAAGGATGCAGCTGAAGTATTACAGAACAACAGAAGGGCTTTTGAACAAAATGTAGCTAAAGCGATGCGAGGTGGTTACGTAGGATCCTATTATTTTGAACGGTGTCTCAAGTGATACAGTGCCTCACCGTCAATACTGTACACGCTTCAAGGACTCACTGTAGGTGAAGAGATCCTAAACTATGGAATGAATGTAGGATCGCACAATGTCCTCATTGTCACTTGCGTGATAACATTAACATATTTACTTTCTTTATGTCTTGCCAGGCCTATATACATTTAATTGGAACACCTTTTTTTCATTAGTAAATCTCAAGTGAATTGAATTCATTATTGAATTTATTGTTTTCGATGATTATTGAAATGTTTATTGGCTATGGCATTATTTTAGTGAATTTGAAGTGCAGTGTTGAAGGGATCGTAGGATTATAGTTTGACATTTGGCAGATAATAGATGTTACAATGTGAGATATCTAATTGTGTTGCATACAATGCATTGCAATTCTGGAACTGAGATTAGGAAGCTCCTGGATCCTGAATTTTTAAATCCGTTTTTTGTGTTTTATAGACACCTTAATTTATGAAATATTTATTTTCTAGGGCGTGCAACCCATTTTCGCGATAATTTTTCACCGTAGCATCTATTGAAATCTGCTTTTCATTTAAATATATGTACAAGTAACTTATGTATTGACTGAGAATGGAATATAAGGCTGTTACAAAACTGCAATGTTTCGTTTGGATTTTCGCAAACAGCATATTTTTACACCCAAGATAAATCTCTTTCCAATACATGTAAGAATAATATATTTCTTTATGAAAAAGATTCGAGTTTGTTTCACACTAACCTGGGAGATTGATTTGTTTAGCTCTATGTACAGATATAAACCTTACAACAATCACTAACAATTGTGAGATTACAATACAATTGTGAGATTTGTTATTCTAAATTAAATTTATTGTTATATTTTATAAGTTCTAGAAATGTGTGTTGGAAAGCATATTTTGAAAACGTCACGCTTGTACAGAATCTATATAAAATAATTGAGCATATCTCAATGTAGTTTAGAAAAATTAATGACATGCAAGAATCACAGAAATATTTATGTAACAAAGTGTGTTGAAATGTGCCACCGATATTTCTTTCTGCTACTTGCCCTCGTATCAATGTATAAATCTAAATATTTAAGTAACATCATATATCTCTAATCCGTATGCATCTTGGAATTCACGCGATAGCGAATAATCGCTAGTGAAAATAAGAGATAATATATTATAAAATGCATCTATACAAATATTAATGAATTATTTTATTAACCTTTTACTCACATTGCAAAATCATAGCAAAACTTAATGTTATTACTTATTGTTTCGGTGAGCAAAATTTTGTTTTATTTTAAAAATCGACAATCTATGAATTCCAAATTACTATACGATATTTTATATTTTATTTTTTATTAAATATACTTCTCTAGGCAGGTGTAAGAGAGCTAAATGCTAATGCATAAACATATTGTACTTGAGAAAAATAAAGGTCTTGGATAAATAAATAAATGACAGATACAATAGAGACTACAGTTTCAGTTTAATAATGAAGTTTCTATAAACTTCATCTGTATATTAAAGCACCAATATAGTTATCTTATTTCTTATTAGTTTATACAATATCAAGACTTAAGCGTATATGTGATTTTATCATAAGACTCATCGCCGCTACAGTTATTCATAATTTATTTTATCATTATATAAAAACTACGAAGAGAATGTGTGTGTGTGTGTGTGTGTGTGTGTGTGTGTGTAATGTGTGTAGTAAATATTCATTACAAAGAAGTTACGGATCGCATCCTATAAAAGCAAAAGGAACAGCTTTCACGTCTCTTTTCTCTATCAATTATTAATTTATTATTCTTTAATACAGTACTTATAGAACTTATGAACTAGAGAAGTGTCCTGGCCTCACTCCGACCTACAGCTTATTTTGCTGTATTCTTTAATTTAGGTCCCGTCTGCGCATTAACGTCTCAAGGCACTTTTTTTTTAATATTCGTGTTTGAAAGCTGATACAATCAATCAACTTCTTTTTTCATTACATATGCACCAAGATTTTAACCGTATCAAATAATGAGTCAAGTTCGGATCACAGCGTAAAGAGCGATAACATCTTTATTTGATTGCATCATCTGTTTATAACAGATTTTAAACAATAATTCTGAAAATCACTTTTATATATAATTTGCAATATTTCTGATAAACACTGCAAGAAATCAATAGTAATAATTCTAAACGAGCCAATCTAAAAGCAGGGCACTGCAAAATAAAAAAATTGGCGAATTTAAAAAGTACGCGATTAAATTAATATTTATTTAAATATGAATTATATTAGAAAAAATAATTTCTTAAAATACCATACAGAGATTTATATACAATTTTGTCACCGAAGTATTGTGCAACGTATTGATCCAGCAAAGATTCTTCTATTTGAAATAATTTAAAGTCATCTTGTTAAATAAATACTTTTGGCTTTCTAAAATTTGAGACACATGCGCATTATATGCAAATATTTTAAAAATATTGAGCAAGAATACACATATTTCTATCTTTCTCTTACATTATTGATATCATTTATTTAGATATTAAAACTAATGTTTGTTATGAATAAATAAGAGATGTGTAGGGATTTCTTAATTTGCTCTAGATATTAAAAAATAAATTGAAACTTATATTTTTTTGTCAATTCTAATAACAATTTTGGAATATTCTATATGAAATTATCATATATATTATATAGAATCGTTATTAAATTGGAATTAGTTTTGAGTTCCTAGTAATTTCGTATTATGTTTTTAACAAATTAATAGTCAACAAAGTCTATCATACATCATTTCTCTTCTATATTATCCACTGTACCTTTGCATGCACCCTGTATATAGAATCGTTAGATTAGGAAAACTGAATTTGGATTAAACGTGATTAAAATTATTGCCCAGCAAATTTCTTGCAGTTTTATGTAAAAAATATTCTTGTACTCGATACATGGAATAAAAGTCGAGTATATAATTATAAAACAACACATTATCAACAAAATGACAACCTAGTTTCGCTATTCGACAGTATTTTAGTACAAAATTTTGGACATGAATACAAATCACAATTTATACTCTGAAGCGACACATAATTGACACATGTGTCCTTTTGCATTCTGATATAAAAAGCATTCTCTTGTGCAGTAATCATTTCACTAACCACAGCACAGAACACCTCTTCTTTGTACGCCTTTATCATTTTGGGCTCTGATATTTATAGTTTATTTCTGCTCCGAGTTCGTCTTGTATAATTACAATATTTCGTGAAAGAAAGAGCTTAAATTTGTCATACTTTTTATTAACGCCTTTTTAACATAGGATAGATAATACGGATACTAGTCCGCGATATTTAATATTATAAAGACTTTATTATTATTGCAAAAGCTATTTAAAGTGCTTTGTTAAATCATCCGTGTAGCTCCATCTTTCAGAGTATAGTTTGGACAGCATGAAATATGGGGCAGAATTTATCTTTTCCAAAATAAAGTAAGCTGTGCTGGGATTTACGTAAAGTGATCGGTAACTGCAGAAAAATGTTTGGCCATATATACATTTAAACAAAGAAAACTTGAAAAAACAGTGTTTATTTAAAAATCTAAATTACTCTTATCTAAATATTTGCTGATAGGCAACACAATTTTGCAAGTTACGTCTAGTATCCTTGACAAGTTACACTTTTCTTTTTGCAGCAGAGTAGCGATTCGTAAATAGATTTGCAGAGCGTACATGATGTTTTATGAAACTAATTGTTAACAATATCAAATAACATAATTTATACACATACTCAAAAGATTTTGATATATTTATACCAACAATTTTTAACATAATTTTCATATTAACATTTATTTAGTTTAATAATTAAACTAAGTGATTTTGCTGAAATAATTTCAGGCTAAGGTTGATAATCAAGACTATTATTAAATACAATATAATATATAAGAGTATCTAACAAGCTATGCTGGGAATTTTCTTAATCAAAAGCATTTTGAAAGTTCCATATTTCATATAAAATATTGTCAAGAAAATATATTATAGCTTGTTAGACGACATTTTACTTGAATCAAAAATTGAATTGTTATATGTGGAAAATATGTAAAAGAGAATATAGATTTTTAACTAAGAAACAAATCTGCTGTCTCGACTAATGAAACAATATGCACAAGTCTGATCTCATGGAGATAAAATTTTAGTGTCATCGTATTAAAGTAAGACTTTGTTAGATTGCCTTAGTAATGTACAATTAGTTTACACAAAAATAGTAAATAGGAAATGCGTAATATTTTCAAAATGGTCATGTACTAATGATCATGTGCTACAAATGTCCGATCCAAATTCTGTATAATTTGTTTACTTACTTAGTTAATCTAAAATCGAAATGATTACAAGTCCTTATCGACTTAAAGGTGTTCCACCAAAGTTGAATGAGGTGGGCACAGTCTGTGAGTGAAAAACATATCCTAGAAAATCAAAAAGATGCTCTTCATAAATTTATACAAGACATACGCAAATATTAATTAACTCGCATAGCAACCAAAGTAAATTCGATTATCGAAAGCAATATAAATTTACCTCCGCTCTGCTCGATCCTTTTACTTTCTAAAGCTGCTTTGCGTTGATCTGCCAAAACAATAATTTCTTGTAAAGCTTTCTCTTGCTCAGGACTTAGAAGACTCGTCAAAGCCCTGTACCAGGCCACGTCGGTTCGTTCAATATCTAGTTAAAAATA